CCACAGCTTTCTTGATGTTAAATATTCTCCAGAATTGTTTGAAGAGTATTTTTTGCTGTTCTAACCGTTGTTCCTCATCTTCGTCGCTCTTGCTATCGGTGGTGGTGTCACTCAGGTCACGCAACTCTTCCCTGGTGTTGGTGTAGTCGTTCAGGAGCTGGAATTCTTTTGTTGAGAATGCAGCTTTCACATTGCAAATCAACTCCTGGTCCATGGGCTGGATTAAAGACGTAGTGTTGGGAGGAAGGAAGACCACTTTTACGTTGGGGTGACGATCTAACAGTAGGAGCGAGTGTCCTGGTGCGTTGTCCAGCAGCAACAAAATATTAAATGGGACATTCTGTTGCTCACAGAATTTCTTTACATCGGGAACAAAACCGTCATCAAACCAGGAGAGGGACAGTGTAGAGAACATCCATGCCTTACGTGCTGTCAGCCAGTGGACTTTTAGCTTGGTCATGTCCATGCTCTTGTAGGTGTGCGGCTTGCGTGCTGTGTGGATCACTGATAACTTGAGCTTACAGGTACCGGAGGCATTGGTGGTAAGCAGGACGGTGATGCGTTCCTTCTGCATTTTCCGGCCCCGAATCCTGCTGGCATTCTTCACAATGTAGGACTTGGAAGGCAGTTTTCTCCAGAAAAGACCAGATTCGTCCATGTTAAACACCTGGTCGTCACTGTACTGTCCTTCCTCCATAATCTCACGTAAAAACGGAGGAAATTCCCGAGCCGCAGCACGATCAGCACTCGCTTCTTCACCACCAATGTTTATATTGGTGATCTTGTTCCGGATCTTAAACCTCTGTAACCACCCAGAGGAAGCAGTAAAGGGTTTGGGCTCTGTAATTCCCATCTTTCGTGCCACTGCCATGTACAGTTCACGTGCGTAGTCCTTCACAGAGCGCGTGTCGACCACCATGTTCCGTCGCGCCTGACGCACCAAGTACCTCACAAGTAATTTTTCTGTCTTGAGAAGCACCTGGTTGTGAAAATACTTGATCATAGAAGCACCTGTAGACTTTGTGATCTTCATGTGCTCCTTTATCTTGGCTGAATCCTTCTTTATAGTCCGGATCGTAGATTCGTTCACGCCATGCTGGCGCGCCAAATCAACCTGCCTTGTTCCTTTCTCCAACTCTTGGATGATGCTATACTTCACCTCGTAGCTTAAGGAACGTCGTGTCTTCTTTGGCTTAGTGCCGCTGGGTCCAGGTAAGGAAAGGTTTTTCTCTGGGGGTGGTGGTCCGGCGGAAGCCATTTTACGGAACAATGGATGCGCGTTAACACGGAGTGGCCTTGAGGGATGAGACTGTCGCGGCTAGGTCAAGCGTCGTCTCTCCTCCCTCCCTCCCTGCCCCGGGTGGACACGTCATAATACTTTAAGCCAATTACAGCTAGCAGCAGAGGAGGGTAGGGATGCATGGCCAATCACAGGTCTTGTACGTCATATGACGTCAGTGATAACACAACAAAGACACACTGTGCAACCTTACCGCGCCGCTTGCCCAAGCGGAGGGAGGAGGAGGGAGAGGCAGGCAGGCGGGCAGGCGGGTGGCGCATGGCGTGTGGGGAAAATCTAAAAATAGCGTCGCGCCGGACACACTCCGCGTAATGGCGTTCGCGAAATGTGAAAATGTTAGGTTCTGGCAAGGCACCGCGGTAACGGTGAAACGCGGAATGCGGGACCGCTTAATGTGAGGACCAACTGTATATATATACAGTATATATATATATATATATATATATATATATATATATATATATATATATATATATATATATATATATATATATATATATATATATATATATATATATATATATACAGTAGTACCCCGATTTACGCGGTCAATTAAACCCACAGGGTACCGCGGAAAGTGAAACCTCGCTAAGTGAACAACAGAACATATGGGATTAATTCCAATAGAGACTGGCCCGACCCCCAAACTCCACTTTTTCCGACACAATACCTATGTTGTAGTAAAAATAACATCTAAATTTTATGATGGTATGCTCACACAATTAATATTTAGGAGAAATACAGTCGCCAGGTTAATGTCCATTCAAATAATAGACTCAAATCCCCCCCACCCTCTTCCCAGCTCACTGGCCCCTACCTCTCTGAGAATTGATTGGGTGAAACACTAGATTTTAACGTTTAGTAATAAATAATACCTCAGACTAAAGTTAGGATAATATAATTGACATTTCTAGATTCATTGCAGGTCAGGGAATATTTTGAATGTAAACTTCATATATTTTGCACAAAAGATAAAATACTTGCTTTGTGTAAACCAAATTATTACACTAGATCTAAAATTTGTATGTCTAATGCAAAATCCATGATGTTTATATTCAAAATGATCATCATATTGTAAGAATTCCAGCAATGTAAATTATATTCTGGTCCAGTAATTTGTATGAATTTTATGAGCTAAAACAAATATCTTCAGTTAATAAAAAAAAAATATTCTTCACGACACTATCTGTCAATCAAAGTACCCCAACTTGCCTCCCCCCTCTTCCAACCGCGCCAGATGGTCGGTCGGTCCCAACCCTCCCCTCCACCTTCCCTCCCTACCAGAGAAATGTTGGGTGAAAAAACTAATTTTAACTTTTAGTAACAAATAATACCTCAGACTAAAGTTAGGATAATATAATTGACATTGCTGGATTGCTTGTAAGACCAGGAACATTTTGAATATAAATGTCATATATTTTGCACAAAAGATAACATATTTACTCAGAATAAACATTACATCTAAAATTTGTATGTCTAATGCAAAATCTATGATGTTTATATTCAAAATGACCATCAAACTGTAAGAATTCCAGCAATGTAAATTATATTCTGGCCGGGTAATTTTTATGAATTTTATGAGCTAAAACAAATATCTTCAGTTAATAAAAAAAAAATATTCTTCACACCGTGCCAGATGGTCGGTCTGTCCCTCCCTCCCTACCAGATAAATGTGTGGGAAAACCAGAATATTTACCTTTTTAGTAATAAATAATACCTCAGAATAAAGTTAGGATAATATAATTGACATTGCTGGATTCCTTGTAAGACCAAGAATATTTTGAATATAAATTTCATATATTTTGCACAAAAGATAACATATTTACTCAGAGTAAACATTACATCTAAAATTTGTATGTCTAATGCAAAATCTATGATGTTTATATTCAAAATGATCATCAAATTGTAAGAATTCCAGCAATGTAAATTATATTCTGGCCGGGTAATTTGTATGAATTTTATGAGCTAAAAAAAAAAAAAAAAAATTATACTTCACGCGTATATGGGTAGATGAACCGCGGAAAGTGAAAGTTCGGTTCTGGCGAGGCACCGCGTATATGAGAAATCGCGTAAAGTGAAACCGCGTAAAGCGGGATAATACTGTATAATAAAATATCCCTTGTCTTTTTTTATACTCGTGGTTCTTGGCCCAGCGGTTATTTTGACTCATGGCTGGCCCTTAGAATGTAAACAAAAGGTTAATTAATGAAGATGTTCCTGATTTACCGTGTTACCACAGATTATTATGAGTTGTGATAACTAGCACTAATAAGGAATATATAAAGAAGGCTTGTGCATAGAAATGATAATTACTTTGTTCTTAATTGCTTGTTATTCACATAACAATGTAACTCTCTTAATGTGTATGCTCTTTCACAGGAACTGTGATTTTCTGCTCATTAAAGCCTCAAGTAAAGTCAAGCTGGTGTTTTATTACAGTAAGCAACAACATCCAAGAAATAGATACGCTGGCAACAACTTTTAAGGAAATAGCAAATTCAACAGGACTTAAGATAAATGAGGATAAGACCAAAACAATGATCGTGGAAAGAAACCAAAGGCAAAACTCACAACGTATCAGTATAAGTGGAATGAATATTTAAAAAATCAAGTCCCTTAAATACCTTGGATCACATATGACATAAGAAAACAAGATCGAAGAACAAATTATGTAAAACCATTATGTAAAACTAATATAAATTTTAGCCAGGATTGAACCGGTAATAGAGGCTACTACAGTCTTCTGGGCATACCTGGTACAAAACGAAGATCCGTATCAAGAGCAACAAAGCTGCGAATTTACAACACAAAAATACGTCCAGTTCTTACTTACGGTTGTTAATCATGGGATACATTTCTGAAAATTTGTGAGCCTCATTTCTGATGCCATCATTATCCATTTGGCAGCATTCTATCGCTACTCTGAGCTGATTGCGTACATTTTTATATGTAACCATTCTAGCCTGCCTCTGGAGAAGTGTTGTCATCAACATGCCGCTTTCATTGTCTAACTGTGGTTACTTTGTATTCTGCAATACTACATAAAGCCTGTGCTTCCATCTCAAAAAAAATCAAAGCGCGAGTTGGGTACGAGTTATCTCGCGAGTTGGGCACGAATTATCTTAGGTACGAGTTGACGTGGGTACAAGTTAACTTTTTTTTTAGTATGATTTATCTTGGGTATGAGTTGTCTTGGGTACGAGATGACCCTAACCCTATTTTGTTCAGATCTCACCTTCGTTTTTTATGGAAAACAGCCATTTTTGATCAAGGATGACTTGCAATTTTTTAAAACGATGCCTTTCCCATGTAAACAAAGGTCAGATCTGAACAAAACACATCAAAATACATGAGAAATAAAAAATCCGTGGAAAAAACGAGGGTGTGCTAAAACGAATAATTACCTATCATATGCAATTACTGCCTGGAGTTCTGGCAAAAAATCACTATCCACCTAGAATTTTGGCAAAAAAGTCAATCCATATTATGAATGCCAGTTACAGTATCACTATCTGTTAAACAGTACGATGGTACCATTTTACAGATCCACGCACAATAATCTTCGCATGATTAAGTTACATTATAGGTTATTTCCATAAATAATAAAAAATCTACTTTGACAGTTGGTAAGACTATCTAGGTAACCTGGAAAAGGAAACTGACAGAAGTACGCACATAACTGGTGCTAAGTCACACTCACTACATAGGTGCTCCCGTTGTCTTCTTTACATTCTTGGGTATCTGGTATGGAAAAGTGCATATTTGTTTTTACCCCTGCCTCTTCGCATCTGCAATAATGAGGACGTGAGTAAGGAAGGCTGAAGGTTTCTTGTTGAGCAATCACCTCACCAGGCTCGGGTTTGTTGACATGTGTGCCTGCCATCTGGCGGCCCTCAGCCACACCACGACGACGATGGCTCATGTTAAGAAATGACAAACACTGGAAGTAGTATCTCAAAATCATCCTTTTCTCTTCTTTTTGCATTTGCTTGGCGACCCCCCACTAACCTAACTTTTCTGATTATTAAATAAGGATCCAATGATAATGTTGGTTAAGTTAGACTAAGTTTAGTTTGTTTGAAATTCCTGAAATATAGACTTATTCCCTGTTATTGTTCGTGTATATTTTTAACATTATTTATTCCTTTTCATTTCCCTAAAATCATTTATTTATATATAAATGAAATAATATTAATTTATACTCTCATACAGCGATCGTGTGTAAATACTAATCTCCAAAAATCATTTAAATTGTTAGTCATATCGAAATTTTCGTAACTGTGGCTGGGGAGCGTGGTCACCTTCATTTATACTTTGTGAACTTATTTGATCTCTTATTTTGATCTGCTAAAAACTATGAAATCTTAATTTTGAAAATAAATGCAAAAGCATGAATGACATTCGCGTGGTGACTGCAAATTAGTTTCAAGAAAGAGGGAATAATTATTATAACGGAGAACACCCGAACCTTTGTATAGAGTCCTAAGTGTGTTCACGTGTCTCCTGATCCGTCTCCTTCACCCTGGACCTCCATGTTCCCGCACTTATAACTCGTCAACCCACTCAGGCGGTGGTCCAGTGCCGGTGAAGGGTTGGAGTGTTTCGTACGGGTACTCTCTTGAGAAAGTATATAACATTGTAATGGCTCCAACTGTTGCAGCACCGGCTCCAGCCTCGCCGGCAGATGGTGGTATCAACGCTGTGCTGCTGGGGCCTCCTGGCTCTGGCAAGGGAACACAGGTATGGCAACTTAAGTTCCTCGCCGTGCCTCACATTATGAGTAGTGAGGCTCATCACTAATACCCGTGTTTGACATACAGACCTATTCCATGTCCACCTAAAGCCGCAATTCAATACTAATAATTAACACTATTTTAATGAACCGGAATTGTATAGCAGCCGTTCATTACTTCAAATTCAAATTTTCATGTTATGAAATTTTTTCAGTATTTAATCTTTGTATTATATACGGTCAATATTTAGAAGTTGCCACCACCTAATTGACTATTGAAAATGGGTTTTCATAGTGTAAATCATCGTGTTAAATACATATATGACCTCCATTGCCGTTGGAAATGAGCAGTGGTTGAGATATTGAAAAAAAAAATGGAAGGTCAAGCAATGTAAAAACCTAAAAAAAAAAAAAAAAAAAAAATTAGTGACCTACCTAACCTCCCTTACCTCACCCACCCCCCCCCCTTTTTTTATGGGTATCAGCCAATCCGGGCAAAGGTCACTGACACATAGGGGCCTGGGGGCAAAAATCTAATAATAATAATAATTGATAGTAAATAAAAAAATAATTAAAATGAAATAAAATAATAATGATAACGCAAATAATAATAATAATAACCATAAAGAAATACAAAATTGAAAAAAGATGAAAAGTGAGAAACAATATATGCATGTTGTGTTGTCAATAGTAAGAGAAACAATTGAGACCCTGCAATTGTGTGTAAATGAGGCAGAAAGTCAGATGAGCAACCTGGGACTTGGTCACAGTGATAAATTTGCACTGTCACACCGCACTGTTAGAGAGTAAAAAATATATTTTTCTAGTGTATCTGTGTGTGTTTAGACCGAGTATGACCTTCATTTCTGGCGGAAATTAGCCGGTTTTTTTTTTATCAATTTTTTTTTGTTGGACGTTTTCAAAAAAAAATAATTGCAAAATACACCAAAAAACACTAGAAAAAAAATGCTATAGTTTCTTCTTCTTTTTTTTCTTTTTTTTCCAAAACTCGCAGTCACCTCCATATAATTTAAGTGACACCCATTGCAGATTTCCATGGTCGGAACTGAACTTGAATTTCAAAATATGAGACCCAAAATAAAACTCGAATTTGACTGGGCCAAATATACCGCGAATTAAACCCAAAATCATTTTAATTGGTTGCAAAAGCAAAAACGCTTTTGATTGGCTGCGTGACGTGTATGGGAACGCATGCACGTGATGATTTATAAAGGAGACGCAGGAGACACGCAGTGTTGGAGGAGAGGCAGGCGATAATGGCGGAAGATTAATGGAAGAAAATGGAGAAAATTTTGGATGTGCCATCTCCGTCATTACCGGTATACATTTCCGCCGGTAATTAGACTTCTTATTAGAATATGATAATAGATCAGTCGTAGGAATGTGCGATGTGTAAACGCAAAAATACCTTCACAATTTTCGTGATGTCCTATGACAGCAGAGTCTATCATTAGACAACACTTTGAGCTTCCAACATCTTCCCAGGTGGTAGGACCCCCCTGTTTGGTAGCTGCCTATTACCTACTACCTAACATTAAGAAACTTACCTTAAGTAAGAGATACAGGAGGATGGAGTGATGTGACTTGAATGAGGAAGTGGTGTCTTCGTCAGTGTCTCTCTTACCACAGTACCATACATGGTGATCTACACAGTTGCTTCAAGTCATCAGGAGTAAGTTCCTCCTCATGAGACATCACAAGCTCTTCGACATCATCCTCTTCCACTTCAAGGCCCAATGACTGACCAGTGGACACAATCTCCTGGTCCAACTCTGTTTCTTCCTCAAATCCCTCAAAATCATGGACTACTGATGGCCGCAGTGCTTTCCATGAAGAATTGAGGGATCTAGTGGAGACTTCTTGCCATGATGACACAATCAATTTTACAGCCTCCAAGATGTTGAATTGTGTCTTCCAGAATTGTTTCAGTGTTAGTTCAGGATCATTGGAAGTTGCCTGATGACACCTAAACATTTTCATGTACAGCTTCTTGAAGTTGCTGATCACATTCTGGTCCATTGGCTGTATGATTGATGTAGTGTTGGGAGGCAAAAACAACACTTTCACAAAGTCAAATTGATACTCCAAAGTTCTGGCAAGGTCAGGGTCATGACCAGGAGCATTATCCATGAGGAGAAGAGCCTTTAAAGGGAGTTTATTGGTGGTTAGGTAGCTCTTGACAGAAGGGCAAAACACATCAACAGCCCATTCATTAAAGTGCTGTCTTGTCACCCATGCCTTACGGTTGGACTTCCAATAAACTCCAAGCTTTGTTCTGTTGCTTGAACACCCTGGGGTTTCCAGAGTGGTAGACAAACATAGGCTTCAGTTGGAAATCCCCTGAAGCATTGGCACCAAGCAATAAAGTGAGACGTCTTTCATGAGTTTATGCCCAGGTAAAGAGACTTCGTCTCTGGTGATGAATGTTCTTTTGGGCATCTTTTTCCAGAACAGCCCAGTTTCGTCCACATTGAACACTTGCTGTGGAAGATAATTTTCTTCTTCCATCAGTTCTTTAAATTCCACTAAAAACTTTGCTGCCCCTTCCTTATCAGCACTAGCAGCTTCACCATGCCTAACAACACTGAAAATGTCACTTCTATTCTTAAATTTTTCGAACCAGCCTTTGCTGACTTGAAAATCTTCAAATTCTGTGCCTGAAGAACCAGGTCGATCTGTCTTTAAATGTTCATAAATCTCCCTGGCTCTTTCACAAATGAATTCAGTAGAAACTGAATCACCTTTCGTCTGTTTTTCCCTAATCCAGATGAGAAGTAACCTCTCAGTTTCTGGTAGATTTGTCTCTCACTTTCACTTCTTTAAATTTGTCTTTCTGTGCAAGAATTGTCGACACAGTTGATGTCGACATGCCATATTCTTTGCATAGCGCATTTGTTCTAATGCCTTGTTCATGTTTTTTTTATAATTTCCTGCTTGGTTTGGATTGAAATCGCTTTTCTTGATCTCGTAGTCCCCATGCTGGATTCAAACAATGTCAACACATGTTTTTTAAAGTTAAACTAGCTGTAAATAAAGAATATTTTCTTTAAAATAACACTGCACTGCGCTATATATTGTCAATATGTAAAATAAATTTCAAAATGACCAATAATTTGCTTGGAAACACAGAAAAAAAGCATTTAGTTGGAGAGTCTCAAGCAAGATGTTACCTCCACTGAAAAAAGAGAGACTAACGCTTGTTTGGTGTGTTAAAAGGCTGGATGGCACGCATAAAACTAGTGTCTTTACCTTCAATTATGTTCAATAATTGTTAAAATGACTAAAAAATTTAATATTAAACTTTTAAAATTATTGAATAGTATAAACTTCTTGATATTTACTAAAATAGTAAGGAATTTAAGCGCTAGAACCGATTACTGCATTGGCAGACTAATACCACAGCTGGTTGACAGCCAAGTGCAAGCGAAAACATGTTGAGGTCGGCTCGTAAGAAACTCGTTAACCGAAGTTAAGAATCTTATGGGGGGTAACTCGTTAACTGAGGCACTCGTTAACCGAGGGATCACTGTACAGTCGACCCTCGTTAAAACGGACAAATATGGGGAAGGGTGTCCGTGTTAGCCGATTGTCCGAATTAACCGATTTAGGGGTTAATATTGCATAATATTGCATTATACAGCTATGTGTATGTTTGTTTGAGTGCCCTGTCATAGGAGTCCGTTTTCTCTCGCTTCAGGACGCGTGAGTCCTCCGTTTTCTTTTAATCTTAGAGTGCAGTACACCAGTGACTTCTTTATTTCTTAGTAATGACTCAGAATTTGAAATTGCACCTGGGGTTGCAATTGTTGAGGCAACTTAGATATGTCTGATTACAGTTGGAATATTCAAGATCCATTGTGAGTGATGTTTAAAGCTTCAACTGTCTTTATGGTTGGTAAAACTTGTCAAGTCTGTCAGTCTGAATGGCATGTGTGAGGCCTTGTGTTTGTACAACCGCTAAATATATAATGTTATGGTAATTATCAGAAACACATAGGCATGACGAGGTTTATTACAAAGTGATGAAAAGGATACTGTAAAGTGGGTAGTCCACAAAACATGTAGCTATGTCTCTCTTTATTTGAGTGCCCCGTCATAGGAGTCCGTTTTCTCTCACTTCAGGACGCCTGAGTCGTCCGTTTTCTCTTAATCTTAGAGTGCAGTACACCAGTGACTTCTTTATTCCTTAGTAATGACACAGAATTTGAAATTGCAACCCCAATTGCAACTGGGACAATCCCAGAACCAGAAATTTGATACGGACAGTTCAGATTTCGCCCGATTTATCCGAAATCCGGATTAAAGGGGTCCGAATTAACGAGGGTCGACTGTATTTGTGTTTTTATAATTTAGTGTTATATTGTTTGGAGGAGATTACAGTATTTCAAAAGGGTCAAAACTGAACTTAGAAAATATTTTGGGGTCTGCTAAAATATCTTACATTGTAGGGTTAGTGAAGCACATTGTTCGATACCGATTATAAATAGGGCATTCAATGAGAATATATTGGACTGTATTTGTGTTCGGCAGTTGGAGCATATAGGTGGGGCTCCATTAGGGGAAGACATGAGTTGGCCATGCGTCAATCGAGTATGCCCAATTCTTAGACGATTCAGAATAGTTTCGTGATGTCGAGAGGATTGTTTTGATGATGACCAAGGATAAACTGATGATTTGATCATTTTTAGCTTATGACTTGTTGGTTCATTTTCCCAGGACTTTTGCCAATCGTTAAATATTAATTGTTTATAGGTAGTTAGCCTCGCCGATAATCAAAATATATGGTTTTCCACTGCTTTACATATTTCTTTGACAATTTTCAGCTATGATATACTTATCTCCTATAAATAATTCATTTAAAATTTATTTTTTTACAAAGAATATTCACTGGTTCCAGAATGTATCTAAACTTACGCCAGTGATGGTCAAGTCTGGTCTTAAATAAGTTCCTACTCGGTGTTATCACAACACTACCGGTAACTCTAAATACAAGGGGGAGGAGACATGTTGTCGGTTCTGGAGTGTTCATTACAGTAGTCCAATTCGTCGCCATGAGTAGAATAGGGGGAGGGGGGTTGGGGAATGCAGGGGAAGGTAATGTGATGGAGATGGAATGTTCGATTGACGTAAGTCTTGGGGGAGGGAGGAGGGGGGATGGTGGAGGGGGAGTGTGTTTAGGTGTGGTAACCCACGATGCTCAAATTATGAGGTTTAATAGTTGGGTGGGTAGAGGAGGGGGGTGGCTATGCGTGGAGTTGGAACTCGTGAACGTATGATGTTGTTTAATGCAAGTTATGGAACATTACAGTATCTTCAAACGGGTTTTCACGCTATTAATAGGCCTTATGTAATCCACCAATAAGGATTACAACAGCACACAGTATGGCTGCAATTGGTAAGAAAAATAAAATATAACATGGCAAAATTTTTGCCCTGCATAATTTTTACAACCCACCTCACGCCTAAAGTAAACCGAAAAATGCTTGTGTATAGAAGATTTTCAACTCAATATCACATATTCTTTCACCTCTACAAATATCTGCTGTCACTTATGGGACACCCTGTAATAGTATAAGGATGACATGGACTATGCTGACAAATTAATGTGACTTACCTGTTGGTGACGGCGATGGTAAGAATGAGACCTCGGCATATTTCAGTGTTCGACATCACCTGCTTCCCCTGGTGTGGGTGGCGCCAACCTTGGCAACAACTTGTGTATTCTCCGTGACTACCAGTAATGGTAGTCACAGAGAATTAATTACTGGTGTGCTCATCAGTCTCACCGTCGTAGCCATGAACGGCAGAGATATGGTCGTTGTAGTGCTTTTATTTATCCGTTACACATGTCTCACCTTGCTTAATAATATTAACTCTCTTCATGACATTTTTATTGTTATCAGTGATTGCGGAATTCACGATGTTATGCTCCACCTACACACAGCCTGTTACTAGACTAACCCCCACCTCCTCTATCCCCCCCCTCCTCTATCCCCCCCCACACACTACAGTGGGCGACATCTGTTGGCCGACCATAGCATTTTCCCCAGCCGTTTCGAAACTTTAAGACTCAAGGCTATTCGAAACCGCACTGTGGCTGGGTAGTGGACACGGCTTTTGTGCACGATAGTACATGAGTGGTACGGCAATGGTGCAACATGCCAAGGCTTGCTTGACTATTTTGGGAAAAAAATGAAAATTATTACAGGTTGACTCCTTTATCCGAAATCCTTGGGGCCAGAGGCATTTCGGTTTTGAGAATGATTTTTTTTTTTATGTGTATTAGCCCACCCGGGTATAGATCACTGACCCACATTGGGGCCTGGAGGGGGTGAAAATATAATAAAAATAATATTAATAATTCATAGGTCTAGGTCGTGTTTCTCACTTTTGATCTTTTTTTCATTCTTGTATTTCTTTGTTCTTATTATTTTATTATTACAGTATTATTGTTATTATTATTATTATCATTATTATTTTATTTTGGTGTATTTTTATTAAAAAATTTATTTACTATGAATAATTATTAATATAATTATTATTACTATTACATTTTTGCCTCCCAGGCCCCGATGTGGGTCAGTGATTTATGCCTGGGTGGGCTCATCCCTGTTTACCCCCCAAAAAAATACTTTGTTTTCGGAATTTCGGATAAAGGGTTGTCAACCTGTATTGGTGAAGCAGATGGTATCAATGACATGGAATGATCGTTTAAGTGATGTTCTGAGCTCTGGATGTTATAGAAGACTTTTCAGTGTTCAATAAATTGAAAAGTATGACGTTAAAAAAAATAAGAATGTCGTCTGTATTCTATGATTGACATATCAGGATGTCAAATATGGAGATGGGCAAAGAAAAATTTTAGATTTTCAAATACAATTTGAATGAGACTGCATCTAATTTTAACTTTGACTTAAGTCATTTTTAGTGTTATTATCTTTTTAATTTCCAACTCTTCACTGTCAAACAGATGTACCAACAGTAAGGAGGCATATCATATGTCCCAACGGGATGAAGAAACTGCACTATTTGAGACTGAATGTGAGAAGGACCTAGGTGTGTATGTTGACAATGAGCTGAAGTTCTCAGACCATTGCGAGAAGAAGGTAAATCAGGCAAATAAATTATTGGGTCTTATGAGAAGGTCGTTCACATATCTAGACGGTCCGCCCCTCGTAACGATCTTCGAGAGTGAAGTGCTTCCCCATCTGGAGTACCGTCACACCGTCTGGTCCCCGAGATATGCTAGGGACTGTCAGTTGGTTGAAAATGTTCAAAGGAGGGCCACCAGACTGGTGCCTGCACTTTGGCACATCAGCTACCCTGAGAGATTGGAGCGCCTGAACTTGCCTAGCTTATTCTATTGACGGGCAAAGGGTGACCTAATTGAGGTGTATAAGCACATCAAGGGGCACTACTCAGCCTAGTCTCCCTACTTGGAGCTGGCGGACGCTCGCCCCACAAGGGGTCACAGCTCAAGATTGAAGAAGCCTCAAGTCCAGAAAACTGTGAGGGCAAACTTTTTTGGAGTGAGAGCTGCGAACTCTTGGAACAATCTACCAGAAAGTGTTGTGACGGTACCGAGTGTGAGCTCTTTCAAGACAAGACTTGACCAACACTGGAGCAGGTTCAGGTACATTCAGGAGCCGGTGCATGCCCAGTACTTGCCAACAGTGCGTAACAGAAACATGACCGATCGCCCAAGCGGCTAACGAGCCGATCTTTTGGTGAAGAGGATAAAAGAAAAGGAAAAGTAATCAGATGTGACCTATCGCCCAAGCGGCTAACAAACCGATCAGTGGTGAAGAGGATAAAAGCAAAAATAAGATCAATTGAGGCGATGACTTTTATGAATGGTGTGAAAGGTGATAGGAGGTGAGTAGTAAGACGATTATTTCACTGGCGTTTTCTGAAGGAGTATCAGTACAGAGGCAAGAGCACAGGACAGATGTGTGCTCTATATGGACAGACTGGTAAGACTGCCGGGTGAGCCGCCAGACCTACCCATGCTGATAAGGTTTGCTACCCTGACGGTAGTTTGGGTGGCATGGTAGTTTTCCAGGTGTTGAACAATACTATAACAAGACAAAGTAATGGTAATAGCACTTACATAGAATATACATGCATACATATGGACCTACATTACATACAGTAAGTCCACACTTAAGGTCGTCCCGCTTAACATTGTTTCGATAATACGTCGCTAAATTTTAGAGGCCAAAAATTCGTTTAACGTCCAGGTGATCCGATACTACGTTGTTTTGCGTATCACCCTCTCTCGGCTTGGCGCAGAGTCTGTGACTCTCCCGCCCTCCTCTGCTCACACCATATTCCTCCCCTCCCGCCATCTGCCTCCACCGCTTCCCTACCCACCCCACACTTGCTCTACCACCTCTGCCCATCGGTGAGTACCAATATCAACTTAGTATAGGCAGTTGTATGTGTATGCACTATTTTCTTTAGAAATGGCAATGATTTTTTGTATATGTAATGTATTTCATGGGGCAAAGGGAGGCTCAGGAACGCAACTCCCGTATTTTATCTATTTCTTATTGGGGAAATTTATCCACTTGACGTTTTTTCATATAACGTCTCGTTTTTAGGAACACAACCCAGATGTTAAGCGAGGACTTACTGTTCAACATAAGTAAGCTTTACACATTGCACCTAGCTAACTGAACTCACTCCAAAAGGCTGAGAATTTGTGAATTTGGCTAGTATCAGTGGTTTTGTGTACGTACAGTACTTGGTGTGGATGTGCTCAATAATGTTGGTAAAACAAGGGAAATACAGAATGTTAAATATTCAGCTGATTTAAAGATTGTAAAATTCTACTTAAAAGACTGTCTTTATTAATTTATTCTTCTCTCAGGCCCCCAGGTTAAAGGAACGGTACTGTGTTTGTCACTTAGCAACGGGTGATCTTCTCCGGGCTGAGGTGTCGTCTGGGTCTGAACTTGGTCAACAAATAAAGGGAATCATGGATGCAGGTACTGAAGCTATCTTTAGTGGGTTAGATTATGGATAAATTCTTGGCATATTAGATGGAACAGTATTTATTAACTGAAGGTAGTTTAAATGGTAAAGGTTAAGGAGGCTTATCACTTAATTTTTCTGTATTTTCATAAGATTTAGATTGACATGTTTGCTTCACTGTTAATTAGCAGTTGAGAATTCCTTATTCCTCCTCATATGCACAGAAATGAAACACAAGGAATATGTTTGAAATATCCACTGATGATGGCCGCCATCTCTACAACTAACTTTCATTGATGATAGGTGCTGTTTAAGGGATAACTGATTAGAATACAAGGGGAAATTTATTTGAGCATATAGCTACTGTATAAGAATGGTATACTGTACTGTGTTCATACAGTCACAATTTTTTCAACACCTCATACCCAGGGAGGTTGTAACATGCTGTTTTCTTATAGTAGACAACAGTACCTAATCTAAATGGGTTTTATAGCACTTTTCTCTCTGTTGTAGTGTTGAAGGTACAGTTATGTGTCACCATCTTATTTTTTAAATTTATTGTTGGGATCTATTTTGAAACACTATACAGTGGTCCCTCGGTTAACGAGCGCCTCGATTAACGAGTTACCTTCCATAAGATTCTTAACTTGGTTAACGAGCAATCCCTCGATTAACGAGTTTCTTACGGGCCAACCTGAACATGATTTCGCTTGCATTTGGCGGTCCACCAGCTGTAGTATTAGTCCGCCTATACAGTTATCGGTTCTAGGGCTTAAATTCCTTACCATTTTAGCAAATATCAAGAAGTTTATACTATTCAATAATTTTAAAAGTTTAATATTAAATTTTTTACTCATTTTAACAATTATTGAACATAATTGAAGGTAATGAAACTAGTTTTATGCGCGCCATCCAGCCTGGCAACGCACCATACAGGCGTCAGTCTTTGTATCTTTTCAGTGGAGGTAACATCTTGCTTGAGACTCTCTTCAACTAAATGCTTTTTTTCTGTTTTTGCAAGCAAATTATTAGTCATTTTGAAATTTATTTTACATATTGACAATATATAATGCAGTGCAGTGTTGATTTAAAGAAAATAATCTTGAATTGCACCAAGAGAACTAAAATTTTATGGGTGAAATGGCGCCATGGGGTGACTTCTCTTCCACCCCAATGCCTTCTCTTCTCCCTTCTCCACCCCCATTCTAATTCCCATCATCATTATCCAGGAGCCTTCTACATACACACCTCAAAGTAAGTGAACTTTTCTACCATTTTTGTTGAATTTAGGAAAATTTCTGTGAGCTGGAACCAATTACCCAAAAACCCATTGAAACAATGGTTTCGGTTAACGAGTTTTTCGGTTAACGAGCAACCTACTAGAACGGATTGTTTTCGTTAACCGAGGGACCACTGTACACATTTGTTTAAATACAGAGTTTACATGTGTTGAAATAAGGAAAAAATGGATGATTGCATTTTTTATTTATTTATTTTTTTTTACAGGGATTAGCCCACCCGGGCAAAGGTCACTGACCCACATTGGGGCCTTGGGGCAAAAATTTAATAATACTACTGTAATAATCAAATTAATAATAATTAGTTCATACTGTAGTATATAAAATTTATAATAAAAAATACAAAATTAAAAATAAAATAATAATAACAATAACAACAATGCTGATAATAATAATAATAATAATAATAATAATAATAAAGAACCATAAAGAAATACAAAAATTAAAAAAAATCATTAGTGAGAAACAATATATGTACAGTGACCCCTCGGTTAACGAAATCAATCCGTTCCAGAAGGTCGTTCGTTAACCGAAACCATTGTTTCAATGGGTTTTTGGGTAATTGGTTCCAGCTCACCGAAAATTTCCTAAATTCAACAAAAATGGTAGAAAAGTTCACTTACTTTGAGGTGTGTATGTAGAAGGCTCCTGGATGATGATGATGATGATGATGGGAATTAGAATGGAGGTGGAGGAGAAGGAAGAAGAAAAGGCATTGGGGTGGAAGAGAAGTCACCCCATGGCACCATTTCATCCATAAAATTTTAGTTCTCTTGGTGTATTTCAAGATTATTTTCTTTAAATCAACACTGCACTGCATTATATATTGTCAATATGGAAAATATATTTCAAAATGACCAATAATTTGCTTGGAAACACAGGAAAAAAGCGTCTAGTTGAAGAGAGTCTCAAGCAAGATGTTACCTCCACTGAAAACAGAGAGAGACTAACGCCTGTCTGGTGTGTTAACAGGCTGGATGGCACGCCAGAAACTAGTTTCTTTACCTTCAATTATGTTCAATAATTGTTAAAATGACTAAAAAGTTAATATTAAACTTTTAAAATTATTGAATAGTATAAACTTCTTGATATTTACTAAAATAGTAAGGAATTTAAGCCCTAGAACCGATTAATGTATTGGCGGACTGATACTAAAGCTGGTTGCCCAGTCAGTGCAAGCGAAAACATGTTGAGGTCGGTTCGTAAGAAATTCGTTAACCGAATTTTTGTTCGTTAACCGAATTGAAGATCCTTATGGAAGGCAGTTCGTTAACCGAAATTTCGTTAACCGAGGCGTTCGTTAAACGAGGGGTCACTGTATGTTGTGTTGTCAAAGTAAGAGGAACAATTGAAACCCTGCAATTATGTAAAAATAAAGCAGAAAGTCAGATGAGCAACCTGGGACTTGGTCATGATCTTTGTGATGCTATATAGCAGCAGGGTCTAACAAGGCTAATAAAGTACAGTACTTGGGTTCATACAAAGGTGTGTTAGTTACAAGACTAACGAGGTCATCCTAAAACTGTATGTTGCGCTTGTGAGACCTCACTTGGGTTACGCAGTTCAATTCTGATCACCGTATTACAGAATTGATATAGAATCCTTAGAAAGAATTCAGAGGAGAATGACAAGACTAATCCCGGGCATTAGGAACCTTGAGTACAGAGACAGGTTAAAGCATCTTAGTTTGCACTCCCTCGAGAGTGAGGGGCGATATGATAGATGGGTATAAATGGAAGTCAGGGCTAAACAAGGGGGACATTACAAAGGTACTCAAACTATTCAACCAGGAGCGAACTCGTAACAATGGTTGTAAATTAGAAAAATTTAGATTTAGGTGCGAAATAGGTAAGCATTGGTTTGGAAATGGAGTAGTGGAAGAGTGGAACAAGTTACCAAATATCATCATTAACTCGAATACGCTGGATAGCTTCAAACATAGGTTGGATGGATGTATGATCAATAGGGGTTGGGTGTAAATGGGACTGCCTAGTATGGGCCAATAGGCCCACTGCAGTTTCCTCTATTCTTATGTTCTTATTAGACAACATATTATGCTTCCTATGTCTTCCCAGACGGTAGTACTTCACTGTTTGATAGCTGCCTACTACCTACGAAAGCATGTGGTCTCTGTTTACAGTTTCTGTACATTACCTACCAGTAGGTCAGAGATGAATTATCTCATTCAAGAGTAGATGAAGCAAATAAAAGAAAGCTACTCATGATAACTTAATCTATCTTTCTCTTTTTTTATCATTATTGCAGAAATCATTTGGTATTTTTCCAGCAGAAGTTATTTAGCCCCATTATCTCTGATCAAGATACATAGCATTGGTGTTGTAATTCATTTGGATATTTGTGTACTGTATAGTACATATATACAGTACAGGTTGCATTTGAAAAATCCAAAATACTTGAGACCAGAGCCATTTTGGATACACTGTACAGTACAGTACATATAACTGAATTTTTTGAAGATTAAAAAAAACCCTAATGTTTCATTTTTCACCAAATAAAATAATTGATAACTGAAAACTTATACTGTATATAATATGTATACATTAAATGAAATTAAACTACTACAGGAGGTCCCTGACTTATGAACGTCCAACTTACAGACGCCCGCTGATACGAACGGGGTTAAACTTCAAATTTACAGTATTTTATTTACCTAATGACTTATTTTTACTTTCATTTATTGTAGTTTGTCATTTTATTTCTTCTTTTGTCCTAAATTAAGTGATTTTAAATGTATATAAGGACTTAGGCTATGATATAGTGGGATTTTAAACATTGTTTTGTAAGTAGGATATGCATATAACATGTGTTCCGACTTACAAACGTCCTCAGGAACGGAACTCGTTCGTAACCCAGGGACCCTCTGTACAGTACAGTATACAGGAGGTCCTTGTTATAAGAGTATTCACTATCCATGGTTTCGTAGTTAAATGGTCAACTTTTTTTTACCATCCACGTAAAAGGTACCCCTCATTTAAGTGGATTCCACTCAAAAACTCTGAAAACTCTGGATAAAATCTGCGGACTTAAAACTTCCGATAAAATCTACAGATTTTTAGCTGAAGCGTTTGAAATTTCATTCTCTTTCTGGCATTATACATACACACACATGTCCCCATGCCAGTCTCCTGCTTTGTTTCGTCCAGACCAGTGCTGTGTTGTGTTTCCTTCTGCCTTTGTTGCGTCTTTATGTGCATGTTGTGGTGGATTATTTTATAATTTTTATAGCCATGAACATTGTAATATGTTTATTCAAATGAAATGGTTTTTATTTTTTTTATTTTATTTTTTATTCTTATTTTTTCACAGGAAAATTAGTCAGCGATGATTTGGTGGTAAACATGATTGAACAAAACCTCGCGAAGCCTGAATGTAAGAAGGGTTTCATCCTTGATGGTTTTCCTCGCACTGTCACCCAGGCTGAGAAGGTAAGGGGATGCAAGTCGTGGTTTTTATATATATATATATGGTAAATATCATAAACACACACAGGCCATGGCTAGGTTTATTACAAAGTGATGAAAAGGATACGCTCAATACTGTAGTCCACAAAACATGTAGCTATGCTTTTTTTATTTGGTCCCCCATCATATGAGTCCGTTTTCTCTCACTTCAGGACGCCTGAGTCCTAGAGTGCACCAGAGACTTCGTTATTCCTTAGTAATGACAGAATTTGGAATTGCAACCCCAATTGCAACTGGGGTTGCAATTGTTGAGGCAACTAGGTATGTCTGATTATAGCAAATGTGTTATTCTCAATTTGTAAGTGAAAGAGTTTGTCCTCAATAGATGTAGGTTAACATTTCACCTGGAGGCAAATGCTTACTAAAGCCTAATGAAGGAAGGATATTCCTTTAACACATAATATCTGGCCAGTATGGGGAGGATCGTCGTGTCTCCGTCAGGGGGTCGTGGAATCGTGGTCCAGCAGGCGTCATGGAAGTTTTTTTTTTTTTTTTTTTGACAAGGACGTATATGTGATCGGACGTTGTTCGGTTGGACGTTAACCGGCGCATGACTGTATATGTGTGTGTGTGTGTGAAATATAATAATGTAGTTTGTGTCATAGGAAAGTAAAATATACTTAAGTTGGATGTTGAAATCAGTGTAATCTTGGTATGTGAGTTGGATATTTTTATTAATTTTGTTTGCTATTTTGGCAAAGGAAACATCGAGATAAAGAAGTTTATCAGGAAAATCTGAAGCAAAAATCTAAAGTTTCACTTGGACAACTGTAGACCTTAATTTTTGCATTGTTACTGTATTTTTCATGAAATTAATAGAAATTTTCATAAAATAATTTTTTGCATCATAGATTTTATTGCAAACCTATTTAAAAAGCTGCTAAACAATTAATCTAGATCAGCTGGCAAACCGGACTGAGGTCCAGCACCAGACACATGTGGTGGCACGGGAGGGTAATAACAGCTGCCTCTGAGGAGGCAATAGAAGTGTCATAAGTACAGTTTCGTTCAAGATTCTTCAAACACTGCTGGAGACAGCTGGCAACTCATGGCCATTTGTTTACTAGAGTATATAGTATAACATAATACGAAACAACAAAGCCCAACCATTAATTAAGCAACAGGGAATTAAGTAGCCAATCACCGATCACTTTTACATTCATTAATAATTTTTACTATGTACTATAGTAAACAAACAGCCATGAGTTGCCAGCTGTCTCCAGCAGTGTTCGAAGAATCTTGAACTAATTTGTACACAATAATTATGTACAGTATCTGAAAAAGGTATCTGTCCACACTGTATGAAGCATTGAGACCATGGCTGATAGATGTTAGGATGTGCACGTTCCTGCCCTGTTTATATACCCAATGTAGTAGGATCAGTACAGTATATGATAGAGCCATGCTTGCCATTCCTGCTGGGCAGTGCCAGATGTAAGTACAGTATAAGCTAGATAAGCTATTGCTTAGAGCCTCACAGGTCAGAGGCGCCTCTCTGAGTTGAAAATTGTAAAAATAAATGTTTGTGTTCATGTTGAAATTTTGGATTCTTGTATTGGATTAGTTCCAGAAAACCAGCATGACTTTACAGGACCCATATAGATCTTAGCACATGTGCAAAACTCGATAAATCATTCTCTTATTTCTTGGAAGACACACAGGAAGGTTTTGATGAACTTAAGAGCAAGGAAAAATAAAACTTGCCTGATGTATATTACAAATTTGGAAATAAATGGAAAAGAGTCAGGAATAGGCAGGTTGATGAGACCGATGCTCTTGATGCTGATGAAGTGCTTTCTCCTCGAGACAAATTTCATGTAAAGTCATTTATCCCCATGGTTGATGCACTGCAAACAAATTTGGAAATAAGAATAATAATTAATGACAGTGTTGCTCAAAATTTGTCATTCTTAGTCGAGTTAGATGCATCAGAAATAGTTTGGTGAAAGTGTAAGGCAGTTAACCCTTACCTTAAGCCCCAAGTAAGGGTGGTACTGGCAGTCCCCCGCCCCGCTCCACCCCGCCCCGCCCCGCCGCGAGTGGGGGGGATAAATCGAGACAAACAACCTTTCCAAAAATAATAATAACAAAAATATATAAAATAAAATAAAACAGTGGCGCGAATAGGCGGACGTTCTGGAACGTCACCTGGGGCCTATGGGTTAAAGAAAGTCTACCCTAATGATGTTGATGATAACCTTGTTGGTGAACTGAAGCACTTTCATACTTATGTGAAGCAGAATTACCCAAATAAATTTAACTTAAACCACCAAGACCTACAGTCTGCGCGGAATATTAAATCGCGATAGGGCCGACGAACTAAGTTCTCGCAAAAATAAGATCATATGTCGTGAAGGCTGTCCTGGGATGCGAATGTCAAAATGCTTGGTTTGCTGGCAAGTGGTGACATTTGGCAACTGAGCACACATCACGGTTTGTAGTCAGTGCGCTTCTGGCAACTGAGGGGAAGATTTATCGTGCGGGTTCCCGTTCCATGTGGCCGTGTTTTGTCTAGTTTAAGGTGCATTAACCCGACATAGTGGCCATCAGAGATGTCCAGGAGGGTTACTACAAGAGACGATATTGCAGCAGTGATTGCATTGTACAAAGCGAACCATGTACTGAGAGAAATTTCGGCTCAGACTGGTGTGGCATTACGAGTTGTTCAAAATCTTGTCAAACGTTTCTGTGACCTTGGAGAGGACGAGTGTCCAGCTCCATTACCTAAGTCTGGTGGGCCTAAATTATTGTCTCCACAGACACTTAAGGTTATTTCTCGACAAGTTCGGTCCAATCCCTCACTCACAGCACGTGAAGTGAAAGAGAGAAACCCCCATCTTCTAAGTCACGTCTCGTTACGTTGTGCTCAACAAGCCCTGCACGATGACCTGGGATTTAAGAGCTTTCGTGCCCGCCGTAAACCTCTGTTAACAAAGAGACAGAAGGAAATAGAGTGAAATTTTGCATGAAATATGAAGTGTGGGATTTAGAGACGTGGAGAAATATATTATGGTCGGATGAGGCTACGTTTTCTGTGACTGGTAGTAATGGAGGGAGGGTGTACCGCCCGTCCCACTCAGACGCGCACCTCCCACAGTACACTGTAAAGACTGTTAAGCACCCTGCCTCGCTTATGGTTTGGGCTTCCTTTACGTATTATGGTGTTGGTGAACTAGTAATTCTCCCTAAGAACCAGATGATGAATCAGTACAACTATCTTGAACTGCTCAGTGATTTCTTAGCTGAATCATTTGATAAAGCTAAGGCAAGCCTTTTCATGCTGGACGGTGCCCCATGCCACACTGCTAAAAGTGTCATACAGTGGCTCAAAGACTGTGAGGTACCTTTCCTTAATGACTGGCCTGACAGTAGCCCAGATCTTAACCCAATAGAAAATTTGTGGTCCATTGTTAAGCGTCGTCTGCACGACGCTGACACATCATCAATCCCGAAGCTAGAGGCAGCCATCAAGGATACCTGGGCTAACTTGCCACCTGACCTCTTGCAAAACCTTGCTGACAGTGTTCCTCGAAGGCTAAAAGACTGTCTGAAGCGCAGAGGAAACACTACAAAGTATTAATTGAAGTAGTAAGTGTTACTTGACTTTATTTACAATATATAACATAATCATAAATACAGTAGAAGTCCAAAAATCCGGACTGCTTGGGGATTGGGTCGGTCCGGATTTTCGGATTTTCCGGATTCTCAGGCAGTACTTTTAAAATTCAAATTTAATGAAGAATAAAGAAGAAATGAACAGGTACATTTTGATAGTTTATTCATTTGCAAATATAGCATGCTTCATTTATCAAAACGAGCAGTTTTAATGAAAAAGCTGTGAATTCTAAATTTTATTCTTTGCCTTTTATATATCATAAATTGTAGACTTTCCAATGTCGTATGTTTCCATTAGAACAGTATTGCTCACACCACGTTCTAGTTTCTTAATTATTTCAAGTTTGTCACTCAATTTCAATGTGTTCTTCTTTCTCTTCACACAACGAAGTTTATCTACTTTAGGAGCCATTATTATGGGCTTGTACAGTACTCTGTAAATGGAAAGAGTAGGACTCAAAATATTGTTATATTACAATGGTATTCTATTCATACTGTGCTTGATATAATGCATTCACGGAAATGTAATATTTTTGCTGAACGTACGTATTACAGTGGAAAGTGGGATAAAATCGTGACGAAAACAATGACTTTCGCTTTCTTTCGTTCAAAAGATGTTACCGTAATCGCTTTTCGAATGGTTTTCAGTTCAAAAACTGTTGTATTACAATAATATTCTATCCTAATTGACTTGAATAAATACTACGATACCATATTTCTGAATATTTTCATTAAAATCCACCAAAATCATTTTCCTTGTCATCGTCTGCAGCACCAAACAGCTTCTCCCAGTCCTCTCTTTGAACAGGGCTAGAGGGTACGTGTTTTTCGAATCGTTTTCAGTTAAAAAACTATTACATCACTCGTCTATTTTACCTAAACTGCGCCTGAATGAATATATTCTTGGAGATAAATAGTAGTTTTGTGGAAACGTGACGTATTTCAATGTAAAATAGGATAAAATACATGACGAAAACAAAAGACTTTACCTAAGCTTCCGATGTTCTTGAGATGTTACTCGTTTTTTTAATAGTTTTCAGTTAAAATTCTGATATATTACAATGATATTCTATTCATACTGTGCTTGATATAATACATTCACGGAAATGTAATATTTTTCCTGAAATTACATACGTATTACAGTGGAAAGTGGGATAAAATCATGACAAAAACAATGACTTTCGCTTTCTTTCGTTCAAAAGATGTTACCGTAATCGCTTTTCGAATGGTTTAGTTTAAAAACTGTTGTATTTCAATAATATTCCCTCCTAATTGACTTGAATAAATACTTAAATGGAAATATACAATATTTTTGTTGAAACTACCCGCGTTTCAGTATAAAGTGTCGTAATAATAAATGGTAAACAATTTGCCTTCAGCACTTGTGTTTCATGCACGGCGAGCCTCAGTTTATAGGACGTAGTGTTTTTTTAGTGGTTTTGTTGTTCCATTACCCTCAAAAACGTGGGTGGAACTATAAACGAGGAATATCATAAATTAACGATTTCTTGGTCAAAAAATCAGGGTCGACTGATAACGAGGGAGGGTTATAGACGAGTATAAACGGTATGTTGTCACAGTTTGATTGCCCATTTTAAAGTGGCGACCACGTGGTCGCTTGTTGTCGCTGTGCAGCTGTGGCGCTCACGCATGCGCACATGCACTCAAATGCCCGCTAAAAAAAATCTTTTTTGAAAAGTCCGGATTCTCGGGTGGTCCGGATTTCTGGCATCCGGATTTTTGGACTTTTACTGTATGCATATTTTTTCAGCACACGGTCTCACAATCCACGCAGACTGTATATCAAGTCATAATCATAGATCAAATTCAGATGGCATTCCCAAATGTTGAATCAATATTAAGACTCCTTTTGAGCCTTATGGTCACAAACTTTTCAGTGGAAAGATCATTTTCAATACTGAAAACCATAAAGAATGAACTGTCATACACTATGTTGCAAAGAAAACTGACAGCATTAGGTATTATGTGCATTGAAAGTGATAAGCTTTGCAGTTTATCATTTGATGACATCATTAATGATTTTGCTGTCCAAAAATCACGAAAGGAACTTTTAATTTTCTGGTATCATAAAATTTTTTCTTATAGTACAGTACTAAGTTGCCAAATGCTGTTACTTGTATCATTTTTGTATTTCTTAATGGTTCTATATTATCATTAATATTATTAGTGTTGTTATAATTATTATTTTCATTATTATTTTAATTTTATATATTTTTTTAAATTTTATTTACTATGAATTATTTGTATTATTATAATTATTATTATTTTTATTCTAATACAAAAGTACTACTACTACATTTTCGCCCCCCCCAGGTCCTGATGTGGGTCAGTGACCTGTGCCCGGATGGGCTAATCCCCGTAAAAAAAAAGAAGGGGGGGGGACATTTTTTATACATATATGTATTAAACAGTATATACAGCTACGCTTTGACTTATGACCTACTTGACTTACGACCACCCGGACATACGACCACCCCAGTCGTACCAAAAAATTTTCAAATTATATATTTTTGAGTCCCGATGTTAGTGATTGCGCTGTGTACTGACAAAATTTTCGCTTGTAATTCCCTTTAAAATGGCTGGCAAGCTTAAAAGTGAGAGTTTTGTGGTGCTGAGAAGAAAAAGAGACACCAATTTTAGATTTTCTATGTATTATCTTCTCATTTTCGACTTATGGCCAATTCGACTTACGACCTGGATTTGGGTCCCTAACCCCATCGTAAGTTGAGGAGCAGCTGTATATCCATTTCTTGCTACATTCATTAACACTTGCTTGTTGCATGTATACAGTAGTACCCCGATTTACGCGGTCAATTGAACCCACAGGGTACCGCGTTAAGTGAAATCCGCGTAAATGGAACAACAGAACATATGGGATTAATTCCAATAGAGACCTGCCCGACCCCCAAACTCTACTTTTTCCGACACAATACCTATGTTGTAGTAAAAATAACATCTTAATTTTATGATGGTACATGCACACAATTAATACTTAAGAGAAATAGAGAAATACAGTCGCCAAGTTAATGTCCATTCAAATAATGGACTCCACTCCCTCCCCCTCCCCCTCTTCTCACACTACACTGCTGGCTCTTCCCTCTCTGAGAAATTTTGGGGGGAAAACCACTAGATTTTAATAAATAATACCTCAAACTAAAGTTAGGATAATATAATTGACATTGCTGGATTCCTTGTAAGACCAGGAATATTTTGAATATAAATGTCATATATTTTGCACAAAAGATAACATATTTACTCAGAGTAAACATTATATCTAAAATTTGTATGTCTAATGCAAAATCTATGATGTTTATATTCAAAATGATCATCATATTGTAAGAATTCCAGCAATGTAAATTATATTCTGGCCGGGTAATTTGTATGAATTTTATGAGCTAAATAAAAAAAAAAATATTATACTTCACCGCGTATATGAGTAGATGAACCGCGTTAACGTTAAGTGAAACCTATGCGGGGTAATACTGTAATTTAGTTACTGTGGGAATCACCATATAGTATGACTTCTCATCCACTTTATCTTTGGAAAATATTTTTAAAAAGTTGTACAGTATTTTAAGTGGTAGTTGGCCTGGGGGCCTCCCAGGATTACATATCTTGGGGCCTCAACATGGCTTAATCAGGCCCTGCTGCTGGGATATCACGAGTTGCATGTAATATTTTGGAAGACATTGGACCCATCCTAGCAGATACTATGTTATATAGTCAATGAAATTAGCAGTGAAAATATAACCTCCGCTACACGTTCGGTGGCGTACATTGTAAGTGTTGTACAATCGCCACTTGCCTCAACCACCACATCACCTCAAGACTCACCTGCCTCATGATAATATAATAATTAATTTGTACAGTACAGTACTTTATTATTAACCTGTACAATATGCATTTTTTTTTCGTCAACAGACATATTATAGTGAAGTAATAATGTACGTATACCATAAGAAACACTCTTCTACTTTGTATGACTCTCTCATCACACTCTTATTATAGTGATATCCCCATTAGCCAGAACAATTGATGCAGAGCTCTTCATGGGATGAGAGCTTTCCGGGTAACGAGACGACTCTCTCAAACCCGGAAAATTCCCACATCCCCTGGAATTTTTCCTGGTACTGGTAAAACTTTGAGATTCTAAACTATGCATCTCACACAGACAAACACTATTGTGCATCGCTGGGATGTTTCTGGGTGCTGAGGAAAGTTTTGCGAGAGTCTAGGAGAGTTAAAACTACACCTCGTATTTCAACTTTAAACTACGCATCTCATCATCTCATATTGCATGGACAAAACACTCCCATTATATTTAGACAATGGGCACAAGCGAAAATATTTACGGCTAACAAAAAACTGTATAAACTTATTCACAGCATCCATTCTAATAGTGTTAGATGTAAATTTATACCATAATGGTCCTGAATAAATTCTCTACAAGACTGTTCCAATAAAAGATCTTTGAACAAAATATTTTGATAAAATGTAATGATGGGGACTCCATTCTGTTGTACAGTATATTTAAAAAAAAAGAACAACAAAGTAAGAAAGGTCGATATCAGAGTCGATAAAATCAGTTCTAATTAAGTTAGAAACACCAAGACAGTGGAATTTTCCAATCTGCACTGGAGAAAGTTTTCCCCGAGCTCATACTTATGGTATAATTATGGAGTCATGTGTCAAATAAGTGAAAAATAGACATTTTAATATTCCTAATTTAGTGATAAGTATTTTTATGTGAATACAGTACAGGGAATTTGATGTTGATGGTGGAATGCTTAGTATTGTACTTGATTTTTTTTTACAGACAACTACTGTATTTACATGAAGATTTGATTCTCAATTCTTGATTTGTTTCCTCAGCTTGATGATATGTTGGATGTACGAAAACAGAAGCTGGACTCTGTAATAGAATTTGGTATTGAGGACAGTCTCCTGGTGCGGCGCATCACTGGCAGACTTTTCCACCCTCCATCTGGTCGCTCCTATCATGAAGAATTCTATCCTCCCAAAACGCCCATGACTGATGATGTAAGATAACAACTTTGTGTCGAGTTCACTTCTGTTATCTTGAGTAATATCTTGTCTTATCAATGCTTCAATTGGCACATTTGAGTGCATGTAATGCAAGCAGGTAATGAGCATAAGTAGATGGGAATACTCGTAGGGTGATGGGTCATGCAAAAAAAATTAACCTTTTTCTCCTGCCGGCCATACATCTCTTTTACTTTCCAGTTCTGAAGTGCTCTGCTGTGTTGTACTACATCTACAATGTAGCCCCAACATGTTTAGCTGATTTACATATTTTAAATAAGACTTCATTCCAGCAAAATATCTCTCCCTAAAGCCTCAAGATGTCATGCTGTTTCATGATGCATGCAGATTGCTGCTGCTTGGATGTCAATTTGCCTTGCTTCTAGTACAGCTACCTCCCTCAACCCACCCTTTCATTTCTTAAGTCCTCCCCTCACTCACTCACCATCCCTTTGTGATTTATACACTTTCTATCAGTCTCTGGCATCGCATTTTTTTCAGTGCTACGGTGGGCCAGATTTCATGAGTACTGTACACACTATGTGGTCCATATAACATAATTATGAACACTTCACTTTAAATTAAAGTACTGTCCTAATTGTGGGTGTCACTTTAAATCAATAATCTTAAATTGAATCGCTTTAAATCGACGTTCTACTGTGTATATATATACAGGGTGTCCCATAAGTTTCCATACATATGGTTTTTAACATTGGATTGGTCGACGTGGTCCTGTGGAGTGGCCACCCAGATCCCCAGACCTTACCCCACTTGATTTTTACCTTTGGGGGCATCAGGAAAAGATACAAAACATAAATCATCTCAAGCAACGTATCACCAACGCTACTACAAGCATAACTCCAGCTTTGTCTGTAGGGTCTTTTGTTACCTTTGTAAAGAAGGAATCCAGGGTTGGCTGCTTCAACCTTGATTTCTGGACCTTCCAAAATTAGTTCATAACATTGTCATTAAACACACTGATGGCCTTTTGCACAGAACCAACATCAGGATGATAATCCTCAGCAAGTTTGGACAGTTTGCTCCAGCAAAAGAACTCATCCTTGAGATCTTTGGCTGGAATGATGCGGCTTTCCTCCTTGTCCTCCTCCTCCCCTGACTCCTCAGAAGTTAAGCTCTGCTTCAGTGTCTCATTTTCCTCTTTGTGAAGCTCAAGCAGCTCCTCAGTGGACAATTCCTTACTGTGCTCTTCCACCAACTCCTCAACATCATAATCATCCACTTCCAGGCCCATGGAATTTCCCAGAGACACAATTTCATGAACAACAGCCTCTTCTTCTAACTCTTCGAAGCCTTCAAAAGTCTCCTTGAAGAACACATTCAGGCCACAATGGCCTCCAAGCAGCACAAAGACACCTCACAGTAACCTCTTTCCAGGCTGAGGTAATTAAAAAAACAGCGTCTGCTATATTGAAGTGACTCTTCCAAAATTCCTTCAAGCTAACATCACTGGAAGAAGTGGACGCAAAACATTTTCTAAACAGTGCCTTTGTGTACAGCTTCTTAAAGTTAGAAATTACCTGTTGATCCATGGGCTGGATGAGAGGTGTTGTGTTGGGTGGCAAGACGTGCACAGTGATGAAGTTGAACTCCTCTGGCAATTCAACCATTAAATTAGGAGGGTGGGCTGGTGCATTGTCCATCACCAACAAAGCTTTCAGTAGAAGATTATTATCCCTGAGGTATTCCCGAACACTGGGTCCAAACACCTCAATCACCCACTCAGAGAATAAATTCCTGGTCACCCAAGCCTTTGGGTTTGACCGCCACATAACACCAAGGCGGGTCTTCCTAATTATTTGAAAGCTCTGGGGTTTTCTGCGTGGTACACAAGGAGTGGCTTTATTTTGCAGTCACCAGAAGCATTAGCACAAAGAAGGAGGGTAAGCCTGTCTTTCATTGGCTTATGGCCAGGGACAGAAGTTTCCTCTTTGGTAATGCATGTACGGCGAGGCATTTTTTTCCAAAAAAGTCCAGTTTCATCACAGTTGAATACCTGCTGAGAAACAAAGCCTCCCTCTTTAATAATATTCAAAAAATGTCATGGTGTTCCTTAGCTGCTTCCTTATCTGCCCTAGCAGCATCACCATGTCTCACAACACTATGTATTTTATTTCTCCTGAAACCAGTAAACCACCCCTTGGTACCCCTAAACACTGGCACATCACTATCACTTGCATTGGGAGTCTTGGCTTTAAGGTCCTCAAACAATTGTCTGGCCTTCTCACAAATTATAGCTTCACTAGTGCTATCACCTGCCATTTCGTTCTCCTTTATCCACACTAAGAGTAAATTTTCCATCTCCTCAATCACATTACACCTTGCTTTGCTAAGTCTAGAGATTCCCTTAGCCACTTGCACTGTTTTCAACTCCTCTTTATTCTTTAAAATCGTACATATAGTCGATTTAGCCATCCCATACTCATCACTAAGTTTCGCAATGCTTGTTCCATCCTCACGTTTCTTTGATTTCTTTCTTAGTTTCAAGAGTTATGAGCTTTCTCACTCGCTTTGGACGATTCATTGTCACAATTGTACACTTGTATAACAAAATATTTATACAAATAACTCTATTTCCATATCAAAAGACGAAATTTCAACAATAAAAGTGGTGCACTGGCTACACAATGAGACAAAGATGGCGCCTGATGCTCTTGTTGTGGGTCGCGGTACAACAATATTCATGCGCCAGGCGAAATAGTCCCGTATTCATCCGTGTTCGTTGTAGGAGTTGCGTTCGTTATAGCATTCTCAATTTTATAGGTAAAACCGTTTGTTATAGGAATATTCGTAGTAGGATCCGTTCATTATAGCATACCCCACTGTATATATATATATATATACAGGGTGTCCCCAAAAAAATGTGCTCACTCTTTGACTGTCCATTAATCATATATTTTTTTTTTTTTTTATAGGTGTTTATTGACATAGATACAAGTCTAATGACTTAAATTAAAAAAAATAACATTATTTAGGGCTAGTCGCACCTGAAACAAAAACAAAAAATATATGAGTAATGGGCAGTCAAAGAGTGAGCAAATTTTTTTGGGACACGCTGTATATACACACACACAGGTTGACAATCCCTTATCCGAAATCCTTGGGACCAGATGCATTTCGGTTTTTTGGAATTTTTCGGTTTTCAGAATCCCCCCCCCCCAGGGATCAGCCCACCCGGGCACAGGTCACTGACCCACATTGGGGCCTGGGGGCTAAAATATAATAATAATAATAATAATAGTAATTCATAGGTTAGGTTCGTGTTTCTCACTTTTGATCTTTTTTTTCATTCTTGTATTTCTTTATTATTATTATTATTATTACAGTATTATTGTTATTATTATTACTGTTATCATTCTTATTTTATTTGTGTATTTTTTATTAAAATTTTTATTAACTATGAATAATTATTATTATTACTGTATTATCATTATTATTATAATTATTATTACTATTACATTTTCACCCCCAGGCCCCAATGTGGGTCAGTGACCTGTGCCCGGGTGGGCTAATAAAAAAAAAATTGTTCCCCCCCAAAAAATTTCGGTTTTCAGAGCTTTTCGGTTTTGGGAATTTCGGATAAAGGGTTGTCAACCTCTCTCTCTCTCTGTCTGTCTGTGTGTGTGTGTGTGTGCGCGCATGCGCGTTCTTCAAAACCATCCTTTCTGAGTTTGGATTGCTCTCCATGCATTTATCACAGGCACTGTAAAGGGCCAAAAGCCTAAATATCTTGGGAAATTATATCTCCTTCCCAACCCCTGTTCCTTCCATATTATTTGCTCTTTTCCTTTTATGTTGTAAGGGTGCCTGCTACATGTCCTTATATACCCATTGCATCTGCTCACATACCTGTACCAGCTCAGCAAACCTCTATTTACTCATTGAGAAAAATAGATGATCACAGCCATTCAACACTCGAGAATAATGTTTAGAGTATAATGATTGTGGGGCTTCAGTTTACCAGTCAAGTCATGTCTGGTATTGCTTATTTGTTGTGAACATTTAAATGATATCCCTTGAGCTTTTCCTGTCGTGTCTGTGAAATCAACATTAATGAAATACCTTGAAGATAGTACAGTATATCCAAACTAGCCTGGGCCATATGCCATGCCCCTCTTTTATATTAATAGCTGATTGGTTCATAGAAAATTCAAACTAAATGTGTTCACAATTGGTTAGCAGACTTGTTATTATCTAAAATAATGTTAAATACCTGAACTATCAAAAAAGCAAATGTTTTCAAGGCTTTAGCACTTCAGAGAGGATGTTAGAGAAATTTTAAATATATATCATAAAAGGTCAATATAAATATGCGCTTATGCACGCACAGTCTGGGGGGAGGTAAAATGCTCAAGAGAACCAATCTGCTATTTGTAGCTATAGACAAGAGGTGGGGCTTACGGGCCAGCTTACCTTGGAAAGAGTATAGTATTTGATGACAATAGATTGTGTTAGTAATCAGAGGCAGTTCCATTACACACCATCAGCTGATGTGATGTTGCATGGAGAAATTTTTGTTTCTGATAAAGAAATGGTTGGTTGAGACAACGTTAAGAAAGTTATGGGCGAGGAAGGCATTAGAGCTATTTCTGCACGAGACTATTCACAGTGTACAGGGGAAATGCATAAGTTCACTTAATGTTTCTTGGAGGATATTTTACACAATATTTTTGATAGCCATGAAGGGAAGAGTATTAGCCATTTAACAATATCATGGCAAATATACTGAGCTACTTAGTGTTTCTTAGATTACTGGGGAACACCTAATCAGGAGGTCAGATGACAACCCTGAGACACTGTTACGAAGGTTGGCATCTTACCATAAGCAAACATCCCCGCTTGTCAGCTACTACGCCAAAAAAGGTAAGTTCCGGGTTGATTTTAGTAAAGTTTTTTGAATATGAAATATTTGGAAGACAGTAAATATGAACTTATAACATAATTTGCAAAACCTATGGAGAGAAAAGTAGGAAGTGATGAATTGCAAATGTCAAGTAGTTACAAAAGATTAAGGAAGGAAAGGGGTATAGTAAATGAGACTGGCACACTCAAATGTAAGTTATTCGCAATTATTAAGAGTGCCCATCATTGTGCTCAGATGGGAGTGAAGGTGTTGCTCTAGGACCAGATTCACTAATGACTTACAATCATTTTTTTATCCCTTTGGCCACCCTTAAGGCTGAACAGGTGATTCAGTGACAGTTTATGATGCCCATAATCGAACTTATCATACAGCAAATGCTACATAGTCCCCCGAGCACCTATAAACTTCCACAAGGCAGAAAAAAAGTCACATAACTCTAATTTTCTCTATTATACAAGCCATACCAAAACACAGCTGCCAGAGGAAGTTCAAGTGTCACTAGTGAGAGTGAAGCTATGAATATGGGACTCCTGTATGTGTAATAATAATATACAGTAGGTTCTCAAATTTCGCAAGTTTTTAATTTGACGTTTTTTATTTGGACACAAAAAACACTACACAATTTCAAATTTCGACGGCGGAAACTCGAATTTCGATGGGTTTGAGCGGCCCGTCAACGTTCAGATGTGCACAATCGTGTAAACAGCGTAATTTTGTACAAAAGATTCATTATTTTTTATTACTGAATGTCCTTTTGATTGAATTAATGTTTGTGTGCAAAATGAACAATACAATTAATTAATAATACGTAAAATATTAAAACACACGAGGAGACGAGACGGCATTGTTTTTGTTAATGTTTACAAAACCAGTGACTGATTGGTTCTACATATAAAACTGAAGAAAATAAGACCCTGGTTGTAGCTGTAGTAATATTAATGTAAAAAAATTGATTTGGTTGTTTTAAGTAATGTTATTTAATATTAATAAAGGGAACAATAGAAGTAGCTAACCATTAATGGTAAAGAAAAAAAGTGAGATCGCGTATGTAAGTGCGCACATGTGAAAACATATCGTCATTACCCTATAAGAATATGAAAGCAACACTTATTTACTGTTCTTATATATATTTTAATTAATGTTTCTGAATTAAAAAAAAATTCTACCCACAAGTTTGTGGTAAAGTTGAAAACATAAGGACAGCCAATGTTGTTGTGTGTGATTTTACCCGGATGACGAAGTTGCCAAGTCATCAGGTTCAACTCTTGCTGAAGCTGTAGAGCATAAAAACTTTTTTTGTGTTGTGTTTATTTAACTTTATCTGTGTTATTTTTGTTGGTTTATTAGGATGTTGCTTTATTACAGGTAGTAATTCGCCAAAAAAGTAGGGTAAATAAGGAAAAATTTAGCCAAACATCAAAAGTACCAGACTCAAATTAATTTTCGCCATTGGAAGTTGGATTTAAATTTGGACGGTTTGAATTTTGCATGGTTTTTAGTCTAAATAGGTGTCCAAATATGAGACCCTACTGTAATAATAATATTTATTCAGTAAAATTGACATGCAGGATAAGCATGTTTATAAACTATACAGTTCAGCATGAATATAGACACAGTGCATGGTAAACAGTAAGACAACTTGATCAAAGATAGTCGACAAAGCTGGAGTATTATTGAAAGTTTATTTGATAGAATTCAACAAGCATTACATTGCACTTGGACTACCCGAGAGTGGCAGATCGCTACCACAGTATGTACAACATTCAATAGTTTAATAATATAGAAACTCACTTTTTTCTCTTGCTGTTTCTAAATCTGTTATGTATTTTTGTGTTAGTTTTGAATTGATTAATTCCATTACTGGTTTTGATGTGGTTTGGTAACTTGCTCCAGTCTGTTATATAGCAGTAAAGAAGAAACTAATGATTGCTTTAGCTGATGACTGTGCTCTCCAGAGGAAAAGGGTGTTTAGGGATCCTTTTGACCCTCCACAAATTGATGACCACCTACTGCTACTGTATTACCGATTTCCATGGAGGGATATACTCTGGCTATGTGACAAACTACAGTAAGATATTGGTAGTTTGACAAAGAGGTCTCATGTGGTCCCAGTGCATACATCTGTGTTAATAACTGAGGTTTTTTGCAAGTGGTTGTTTCCAGAGTGTGGTTGATGATGTTACTGGCTTAAGGGGATCGTCCCTCTGAAAGATAAAAAATTATGAAGAAATTTGATTTTCTGGAGAAAAAAAATCATCTGAACTGGTAAACTTTAGCTGCGTTACTGCCAAGTATGAACGACCCCTTACCCTATAGATGGTTTTAGGTGATTCTCGTTTTCTGTTGTCATAATAGTATTGAGTAAATTACATTTATATATTTTTTTTTATATGTTACATTATTTTATAAAACTATTAAAAGAATCCTCTGGCAACACCTATCAGCCAGTCTGCCGAGTTGAGATCATTTACTCCATGTTGTGTCAATGCTCAGTGTAAAGTCCTGGGAATTAGGGATAGAAATCCCTTACCAGACTAATCAGGTTCTTAATTTAGGAAAGTCAAAGACCATGTTTTCCTGAGGAATAACAAACAACCGTTTGAGATTGACATCTCTTTACTATAAAAAATATAATACAAAACTCTGACACCACTCAACAAACATCAAATAATTATGGGAGTCAAACAATTAATGGAGTTAATCAATTAAGGGAAGCAAACAATTAAAGGAATCAAACAAATAATGGGAGTCAGCAATTAATGGATTCAAACAATTAAATGGAGTCAACAAGTGATAGAATCGAACAATAAAGGGGAGTCAGCAATTAATGGAATCAAACAGTGAACAGATATTTCCTACAGCAGTGGCCCTGGGGGAAGGTTCTGGAACACGGTGATCCACACTCAGGGTAGGGAAGCGTCCATTCAACTCCACACTCGAGCAACGTCTTGAAATGGCAGGAGAACACCGGGGAACAGACAGAATGAGATGAACTGACGGTTGTGGTATGTGGTAGTGGTAGATGTCCAGAGAATTGACAGTCGATAGGTGAAGGTCTGGGGGGACAGCCCACGAGTCCAGGACCTATGATGAGATCACAGCCAGAATTTGACGAACAGCGGGGTAGCTAGATAGTGACTGTATGGCGGCTGGGTTGAATCTGCCGGTGACCCAGATAGTCGCTGCCGTTCTCACCTCTGTCCAACCGCCCCAAATGTCGTCCGCACCAGCAAACGAGCGAGTTAGCAGCGGTAACCAGCAGGAAGATCGTTTCCGCCCTTACACTCGGCTAATCCGTATGGAGAGCAAACCTATGTTGCACGGCTCGTGAACCTTCCCCCTCCTTTGCCCAAAGTATTTGCATAGATTCCTCAGTCATTTTTAGACCACATCTTTGGTTATTAGGCATTTTACTTGTTCTCCCTTATGTTTGCTACTACCAGCCCTTCCCTTATGACACTTTGAAGCAAGATGCTTCTCACCTGACACCACATAAGAAGAAAGGTAGACAAAATTCGGAGCATGAACCTGGGTTATACTAAAGAGTTTTACGAATCTGGGTCATTCTAATGATTTCTAAACCTGGCAACAAAGATAAAGGTCTTGTCTTTTGGCACCCTTGCTCTTTAGAAAATGATATTGTGCAAAATCAGGAAGGCACCAGGTTTCACGAACATTTTGTACATAAAATTGGAAATAACATCAAAATTTCTTGGAAGATTTTAAATTTTTAACAATATTAAATTCACCAATAATAGGAGATTATTAAGTACAGGTATCCCTCATTTAACATTAGTTCACTTCATGATTTTATAAAATTTAAACCTATATTTAACAATCATCAATTTTCAATTTAGCAAACTTCGATACACTGGGAAAAATTTGAGAGATGTTGGAAAAACTAGAGATTCTGTGCTCCAAGTGTGCATCATTACAACGCTAACGTGGCATAGAAAAAAAGAAAATACTGTATAGTATACAGGCTGTCCCCGGGTTAGGTACGAGTTCTGTTCCAACGGACTTTCTTAAGTCGAAAATGTACTTAAGTAGAACTACATACCCTGTGTGCATACCATATTTACAGAACAATGTTTAAAATCCCACCATATCATTGCCTAGGTCTTTATATACATCTAAAATCAGTTAATTTAAGAGGAAAAAATAGAATAACAAAATTCAGTACATGAAAGTAAAAAATTAAGTCATTTAGTAAAGGTAGTAGGTAGTTGGGGGGGGAACTACTGCCTGGGAAGTTATTGGAAGCATAATGTGTTGTCTAATGGTAGACCCTGCTGCCATATGGCTTCACAGAAATTGTGACCAAGTAAGATGATAACTTTTTAATGTTTGGGGTTGCTACTTCATTTTTAGCAATATACATTAACCTTCTTGGTTATGTCTCTTTTATTTTCTTTATTTTGTAATTAATTTTCTCAATGTATTTATGGTATTTTTTCAGAACTCTTATATATATATTTTTTTTTTTACTTTTATTCTCAGATTTACTTAATTATATTCTGTTTTGTGGGTAAACTTGGAAGAACCGCATTATTATCTTAGAGCTGCTACCACCACCCAGGCTTTCTTTACAATATAACATCTACAATTAACCCCTAAATTAAATTGATAGCGTGATAGAGACGAGAAGTTAGGCACGTGAGTTATCAGGTGTATTTTCAGGGATGGCATTTATTAGAAGGAATGAGTGGTGATACACACATTCTACTGAATCAATACTGTGGTCCCTCGATTAACGAACGGTTCTATTAACGAATTAGCTCCCATAAGGATTTTCAGTTTGATTAACGAGCAAAACTTCGATTAACGAAATCCTTACAACAAACATGTTTTGTTGTGGGCATCAGCTGATCAGCTAGTCCTCCAATACAGTAATTGGTTTTATGTTTACATTTCTTTTCCAGTGAACTAAATGTCAAGAAAGTTAGTGTCTTGAATATTTCTGCATTTTTTAAATTAAAATTATTGGTCATATTGAAAT